CTAAACCCTAAACCCTGAACTACTTATCTACGGTCCACCCTCCACCCGACAGGCCGAAGAACATGGCGAGGACGACTGGAACCCTCTCAAGGCCTGGGCTTGTTACACGCGGCCTTCAAGGTTTAGGGTTTCGGTTTTAGGGTTTAGGGTTTAGGTTTTTTAGGGTTTAGAGGTTTTTTTTGGTTTAGGATTTATGGTTTGGGTTTTTAGGGTTTAGGTTTTAGGTTTTGGGGTTTAGGTGAGTTTTGGGTTTAGGGTTTGGGGTCATCGCTTGGCTTTTCAGGCTCCTATTTAAATGGGTGGTCCTGAACACGCAACACAATCTTATGTCCATCCACGTCTTGCATGGGGGCAAGATCCACATAAGCCTCCAGGCACATACACACACAAGCATGGATGCACACCGTAGCAGCAAGGTGGTATCCAAAATAGGGGTCCTATTAACAGGTAGTAAGTTCAGGTTACATAGGGCTGATTATCAGAATAGGGTCTGGGGATATATTTTACTTTAATTGTAACAAGAAGCCCACAAAGCCCTATTGTAACTATTAAGGCCCTACATTATATAGGGTTTAGAGTTCAAGGCGCTCCAACAGCGTTTCGGGCTTTGGAGATTTAAAGCTCTATAGGGGCGGCATGCTTTGTGGCGTCGCCGGTTTCTTGGCCTTTCGGACATTGCGGCTCTTGGGGTTTAAGCTGTAGAATGTTTAGAGCTATGCGGCTTTGGGTTTTTCGGGGTTTAAGGTTGGGGAACTGCAATAAACAGGAGTCCACACACGGTTTCCCAACTTAATCTGAGCCGTGTTTTTAAAGGGGCTTCATTCAATAAACCGACCCCGAGAGATATAAATCGTTGCGCGGCCAAAACTTGCACGGGACTGACTGTGTGCGTGGAAGCAAGCGGAAGCTGCGCGGAAGCCGCTGGTCCGCGCAAGGCCGCGCAAGCTCCACCTAAAGGCAACATTGTAAGTCCCGCCACAGATCTCCCAAAGCCCATTCCGGGAGTATCCTTCAACCCTTAAGAAACCGTGTAAGCAGCCCGAGAAGACTACCTGTCTTCAACGATGCCGACCCAAGTCAGCTGACCTGTACGCCTGTGGCTGTACATGTGCTGTTCGTTGCATACAGTGGGTAAAGCTACTTGTTTCGAGCCCGGGGGCGGGGGGGGCGCAATCTTCAGAAATATATTCTCATCGTTGTCAATAGCGTCAATAGCGTCATCCTGAGTAGCATCGTCACCATACTCATTGTCCACACCTTCCTGTCATGCCATTTACATACTCGGTCATGAACATTTGTAAACTTTGCAATTGCCATTCACGTCATCGTAATCATCATCTTCTTCTTCAGCTATATTGCAGGGAAGCTCCACCGAAGCTTCGCGGAAGATGGACATCTGAAGGTTGATCCCACTCGCCGGCGTACTCAAAGTTGCATTCATCTTGACGACGTTCTGTCGGCAGCACTCCTTCGCCCTGGACTCTCTGGAACTACAAAGGTCTTGAACCGCTGCATATCACTCATTACCGACCTTCCTCACCGTTATGAAGCTCAAACATGTTGTTCAATTTCAGACCCTACCATATCGTACTTGCCGTAAGGCTTTTAGGATTCAAAACTGAAAATCGAATATTTTTAGTTTCCTGAGACACGGATTATGTGAGTACTTGGGGTTTTGGGGATTCCCTGCTTGGGCGCAAGCCGAAGCTCCAGTTTGTCCTGCTAAAAGAGATGCGGTAAAAGTAATATCGTTATAATCGGGCTTAGGACGGATTACCAATATTGGTCCCAAGGGCTCTATAGGGGTTTCAAGTGGGCTTAGGGACAATTACCAGTGTCATCCCTTAGGGTTCTTCAGTATGCTTACTCTGGACCCTCGGGGGCAAAACTACCCTACAGAGGTTACAATAGGGAAGTCAGGATGAGCTGTGGATCATTGAGGGTTTGGGGTTAGGATTTATTAGGTCTTTTGGACCCTTAAGGCCTTAAGGTGAATAGACTCCTTCGGCTCCTTGCTAAATCTCAAAACCGTTTCATTAAGGATTGTTTGTTCAGTTCGTAGTTCATATCAAAAGAGCCCTTTGAGAGCGTAAGGCACACAAGCCCTAAATAATCCCGACACCCAGCCCCTATTTATTACCTTATACTGTTCAGTTCGTGGGTTCTAAGTTTTTGAGTGTTGTGAACCCTGAGGCACTGATCCGTGCGCGTCCGAGATGTTCGGTCTATCTTGCGAGCGAGGTTAGGAGTTTCTATTCAAGAAGATGGTGGAGCTAAGGACTCAGGGACTTAAGGGTTTTAGGGTTTGAACGGAACTTGCTGAAGGGTGATGGCCTCAGGTTTCCATCGAGATTGAGCGCTTCGCGGTTTGAGGGTCTGGGGTTTTGGGTCTTTTGCGCGGTATCCTCGACAGCCTAGCCCATATTAGTCTAACTTCCTTTTGTCTTCATGTCGCCTGTGAATTGGGATCTCCAGCAGTGCAAGTGTTTGTGAGACTGCTCTGATGACTTGACACAGAGGTCAAATAGCACTCAACCAAGCATGTAACATTCTGTAGTATTGGTTTTGGATTGTCCAGGTGGTTGTAACCCCCTTCTGCGATTGGGGTTGCTGCATTTAGGGTTCGGTTTCTCCTGTTGTCAGTGCTTAGAGAGCGGAGAATTTCGAGTTGAGAGTCTGGCAGTTAACAAGCACGGGCTTGTGATTTATCTAGGTATGTCCGATTAAACCACAGAGAACGGAGACGGTTAGTTTAGTGCTTTAGGGTTTAAGGGTTACATCACATCTTTGTACATCCGTCAGCCAATCCTAAGAACTGTTGCATGACATCGCCAACAGCTTGGACCTAGTTAGAATGGGATATCCCCCAAAACCCTACACCCAAGACCCTAAACCCAGCTTAGGACGTCCCCTCAATCACACCCACAACTCCAACACTCAGCGCCAGCAACCTAGATCCGAAATTCCAGCCGTAAGCCACATATCGATCCTATAAGCCATAACCCCCTGAACCCTAAACCCTTCTTATGAACCCTAAACTCTAACCGTGACGGCCCTAATCCCTAAACCCTAAACTCCCAGAAAACATCGCTGAGGCCGGAAACCCGCAAGGCGCCCCGCGGAATTCAAAGAGGCGATGCAAACAGAAACAGACAACGCATGGTCTGGGTTTAGTATTTTATGGTCTAGGGTACGGACCTCCCTCCTAGGGTTTATAGGGTTTCGGGTTCAAGGTTTAGGGTTTCAGGTTGTGCAGGCAAGAGTGCGTGGTTTTGGGTTTAGGGTTTAGTGTTTAAGGTTTAAGGGTTTAAGGTTTAGGGTTTAAGGTTTAGGGTTTCATGTTGTGCAGGCAAGAGTGCGTGGTTTTGGGTTTAGGGTTAGGGTTCCTGTAAGGGTTCGACAGGGGTTGGTTTCCAAGGGTCTTGCAGGCCTTATTATCTGTAAGCCCTCTAATCAGGGAAGATGCCTTACAATACGATCCTCAGGTTGTTTCATCAGTATCACCGTAATTAGAGACTATTAGCCGATCTGGTTGCTTCAAGGATGATGGAACTCAGATGGCAAATAAGGCTTTTGGGTTTAGGTTCAATGCTTGGTTACTTCAAGGATCATGGAACTTAGGTGGTTGAGACCCTAAACTATAAACCCTTTCAGGGTTTAGGGTTCAATGCACGGTTACTTGCCTGGTCACGGGTCCCACATTTTCGCGGCTCCGGTTTCGGGGTGGAGGCTCATGCCAAGCATCATGCGACTTGCATCGTAAGTCGCATCGTACCTGTAATATGGGGTCCTTAATAATTACCTGTATTATTTTGGGGGCTCCTTATTATGAATATAGTATAATATACCCCAAAACCCTATTCTAATTATTTAGGCTCCTACATTAGTATTCATTGCTGTTCTCCTGCATTTGGTGACCACGCTTTCAACTATAGACTATAGTATCCTAGCCTCACCCTAGGTTTCAATTAATCCAAAGCAGAGCTACAGTGGAGACTGTATGTGCCGGCTCCAAGTGACGGTGCTCTGCAGCCCGCCTCTGCGTATACATAACTAGCTGTCCAGCCACGGGTATTGGGGCTACAGCTAGCCAGTCGGCCTTTGTCAGATTAGGATCCACCTCGAGACCCATATCCAACAGAACGCTGTCAATGGGTCACCCAAAGGGTCCTATGTACTGTTATGGGGGATATTTGCCTAGACTTAGACCATAAACCCTAAACCCTAAACCCAACCACAATAGTAATTCCTCATGTAGAAGCCCTACATTCTACTATACAGGTACGTAGGACCCTGTGGGTCATGATTCCGAAGTCCCCAAGGGTCCAGGCCTTCATGTCGTCCCTGCTTAGATACTTCAGGGCCCCAAGTTATGCTGTATGGGTACATCTTAAAACCTAAATCCTAGACCCTAAACCCCAAAACCCCAAAACCCCTAAACCCTCAACCGACCCTTACAAAGTTATAGGTTTTGCTGCTGGATTCCCCGAACCCCAAACCCTTAAAGGCTGGGTTTCCTTGGCGAGCCCTAAACTTCAGTCTCGACCTCCGAACCTCGAAGCCCTAAGACCCAAATGAAGGGGCCTGCGTACTTAGTCTAGATTTTTTGGGAGGGGGGTGTTGCTCATATTTCCAAACCCAAAAGCCTTGTAGAACCCTGAAAACCGAAGGATATTCCGGAAAGGAACCCCACGGAATCGCGGTTCTAGTTAGTCGGGCCCCTGTGTGAAACCCTATCGCACCCTGTCAATCCCCGTTCATGTGAACCCTGTCGAACCGCCGAGCAGCCGATCACCTGCCAGGCATCGTGGGCAAAAGTCGAGCGTCTCGCGAAAGGATTGAAAGGCTAGACCTTAAAGCCTCAAACCTAAACCCTAAACCCTAAAGTGCTCCAACAATTCTTTAAAGGATTCCTATCGTTTTCAAAACAGGGTTCCTTCATGGATCCCACTAGGGTTCTTTCAAGCTTTCTGTCGGGCTCAGGGTTTTGGAGTTTGGGATTTGGCGTCCAAATACTTCCAAGCACTTCTGTTTCCCAACTTTGGGGCCAACGTGCATACTACGGTTGATGATATTAATCTTGCATTACCCATAATAAGGAATGTACCATACTTCCAATAGTTTAGGGTCCTTAAGGTAATGCAGGATTTATATTTACGTTGGGTTGAGGGTTTAAGACTTGCGGTTCAGGGTGGGCTTAGAGTTTAGGATTTGTGGTTTGGGGGGGTATAGTCTTTCAGGTTAGTGAGGTTTCAAGGTTGGTGTGTCTGTGGAGGCTTGGGAGCATGAGTTCTCAGAGGGCCTTTGCTTACTTCCATGCAGGTTGCAGTTAGTCGTGCTGTTGTAGGGTTCAGGGTTTCGAGTTTATGGGTTCAGGTTCTCACAAGTCTGGGTTTAGGAGGTCGGCTTGTACATGCAGGACATTCGGGCTGTAGGGTTGCGGGTATGTTTTATCATTCTTTGAATAATACGAACTTCTGTTGAATTAGGGTTTGGGTCTGCCTATGTGTACATAGGATCCGAATCATGATCAGGTTCTGGTAAGGGGGTGTTTAAGCCACTTCAGATTTCTGGGAGGTAGAGTTTATGACTTTAGGGCATGTGGGCCATATAGGGTACTTAATTCAAATCATAAGGATCACGAACTTCCCCAAGGGTCTGTGCACCTACGCGGTAGCTACATTGGCTCCTATAAAGAATACGGAGGAACCGTTTAAGGCCCCAGCATAATATAACACAGGTACTAGGACTATTCCAGGAGCACCAAGAATGAGATCCTTTTTGAGCCTGGTGCCCCCATACCGAAAGGATCCTATGTACTGTTATGGGGGGATACTTTCTTTCCCAAATCAGAACAGTGATTCCGAATACAGAAACCTTATATCCTACCACATAGGTAGATACTGTTGATGGTATAACTCCTGCATTACCCAAAATAGGGAATATACCATAATTCCCGTAGTACAGGGACCTTAATTAATTAAGGTAATATGCAGGATTAATATCATCAACCGTAGGACTCTTTGGGTCCTTAGCCCTAAGCCCTAAACCTAAAATCCTGAAACCTAGCCCGGAAGCTGCATTTGAAGCTTGGGGCCTCTGCGCCCTAAGCATCCCCTAAAACGCCCTTTAATAGAGCCCTTATGGTCCTTACTTTTGGGTATGTAGTGTATCTTAGAGGGTAGTTGGGGGAGTCTAGGAAGTTGACTGAAGTTTAGGGATCAGATTTAGGGGTTTAAGGGTTTAGGGCTCGGGTTTTAAGCCGAAGAGGCTAGTCCGTACAGCCCAAACGTGCTGAGCAGAAATTCTACGGAGCCTGTGGAACCAACTACGTACTGATTCAGTGGGCCCAAAGGACAAGTTCAGAGATCATAACCTACTCTGTTTTGTCCCTAAACCCTAAACCCTAAAGCTTAAACCCTAAACCCTACTCTGTTAAGTACTTATATACCTAGAAACCAAAGGCATCCCTAAGCCCTGGAGTCCTAAAAGCCAGCGACCGTTTCAGAAAATAACCGCAATATGGGCCCCATGTAATCGGCTCCTTCGCCTTGAATAAGGAGCCCAAAATGTCACAAAATCCAAAAATGACCTAATGTGAGGGCCTAGTTATAAATAATTGCCAATAATATTTTGGTCTAATATTATACCCCAAAACCCAAACCCTAAACCCTAAACCCTATTCTAATTATTAAGGCTTCGACATTCAGCCCCCAAATCAGCCGCCAACCGTGAGAGCCAAAGCCTGTTAGGCCGTGGTGTGAAGTTGCGGGACCTGAGACTGCTCACGGTGAAGGAGGGTTTAGGGTTTAGGGTGGGTTTTCTTGAAATCTGAGCGGAATGTACGGTAGCGCCATAAATCTGGGACATGGACAAGAGTGGGGTCTGCTCCTTGTAGCGGAAACTTTTGTTCCACTTTTCAGGCGTTTTTGGAAGCATTTGGGTTTTCAGGGAGCTCCTTTCAAGAGGGATCCTACTACCTTGTGGGCATGTGGGTGTTATTACTGTCATGACTTGTCTTCTGGAGCTGCCTTCCCACATGGGGCACGAGGGGCAGTGAAGTTTCCCAGGTTTGAGGTTGGAAGCCCTTGGGCAAATTTGGTGTTTGTTTCAGCGGATGGGTTGAACTTTGGACAGCCTGTGCCCTCAAGGAGCCGTTTTTGCAGCATAATTCGTCCCTAAACCCTAAACCCTAAACCCCTCAGCATGTCGCCACCAGCGACCTTCGGCAGGGCATGGCACTTCAGTGAGTTCCGCCGCAGGAATCTGCAGGAAGCACTCCTGCAACATGTTAGCTCCACTGAAAAAAAGGCCCTAAGGCTCCATGTACCCATATATACTTAGCCATAGGCCCCAGAATAGTTCCTTTTTGGGATTACCCCTTAGGATTCTAAATATGAGCCCCCAAAATGGAGCTACTATGGGGACTATGGGTTAGGCCTTGAAGTGCTTTGTATCGGAACCCCCTGACTGAGCCAGGAGCGCGAGAAGCTCCTGAAGGAGCACTTGGGCCATCCCTCTGGTGAGCTGCCCGCTTCGACAGAAGGCAATGGCAAGAAGGAACCTCCGACCGTGCCGCTGGCGCCTTTGCCGCAAGGTTCAGGGTTGGGTTGAGGGTTTAGGGTTTAGGGTTTAGAGTTTAGGGTTTAGGGTTTAGGGTTCAGGGTTGGGTTGAGGGTGACCGCCCTTCCTATGGTTGATTTTGCCGGCATCAACCAGAATCAGAAACTTTCGCAGAGTTTGTGTAAAGACGGAACGAACCCACAAGGGGTTTAAGATTCAGAAACCATGTAGGGATTCTTAGTCTCAGGGCCCCTACTCTACCTATAGTCTCCATTGTAGTTCCTTTTTGGGGATACCTTATAAAATCCTTAACATAGAATTGGTTAAACCAAAAAAAGAAATACAATGGAGACTATAGGTACCTTTAAAGGTAGAATTCGAAGCCAACTTCCGTCCTTCCGTCAGCTTCTCGCGCAGCAGAGCTTCCGACACCTGTCTTCTATCCGCACCCTCTCTTTTTCCAAACCCTACAAACACTAAAACACCAAACTGTAAAACCCTGAACCGTATAAACACTGTATACCCTTAACTTATATATATATATATATCTGTTTTATTTTACTTACTTGTTTATTTGTTTATTTATTTATTGATTTATCTATGAAGCCCTGCAAACCCTACAAGCTCAATAAGCCGTGGCTTAGGCCTGCGGGTAGCTGCTAAACTGGCGGCCTTTTATGCCCCTACTGTAGTCTGGAATCGAACCCTATAAACCCTGTGTTTTTTAGGGCTTACGGGGTTTAGAGGTTGAACTTAATAGGGTTTAGAGTTTAAAGTTTCGGGTCTAGGGAAGTATTTCCAAACCTCGAAAACAACAAAACAACCCTTGACAACCCAAGACTCCTACTAAGCCCGCAGCCCCTCCAAACCCCAGGCATCGGCTTGTCCCACGGATCTGGACACCTTCATCCAGCAACCCGGATCCTATTGAAAAGCGAGGGTTTACTTTTCATAAGGGTTTAGGGCATTCTAGCTTGCGTAGGGGATGTGGGGTTTTGTCGTGTTTAGAAGTTTTTAGTGTTTAGGGCCTTCCAGCGCAACGTAGCGGCCTCAAGTTGGTTTCAAGGTTTTGTGGTCTTAGGGCTGCGGGTTGCGAGTTTCACGGGTTTTGAGTTCGGGCCTAAACCCTAAACCCTAAACCCTAAACCCTTGGGTTTGGGAGTTTGGGCTTTGGGGATCAGGACTGACGTAACAGCCCAAAAGCCCATGAGTGAGGACTCTTAGCGCTGTTCCTGTGTACCTTGCCTCAGAATCCATACCCATAGGTCCCTGTTTGTGGCTTATATTTAGTATCCTATAAGGAAATCAATCCTCAACAGGAGCTACAATGGAGCCTATGGCCTATGGGTAAGTGTACGAAAAGTACCTACCTTAGGTTGTACCGTTCATATAATTAGTACCTATTTTGGGCCATTTGGAGCCTTAAGGCTTGCGAGTCCTTGGCGCGTGGCATTGGGCAGGCTTCACGAAGCCGTAACCGTAGTCTTACTTGCGCAAAGACGTTATCCAGACACTCTGACGCCTATAAATCCGAAGCCCTAAACCCTACGCCGAGCTCAGGTGGCTGTGCGAACAGCTCTGGCTTGCTCGAATTCAGCGCCTGAGCACGCCCGAGAGGCCGGCATGAACGACTATACTGGGTTTAGGCCTGGCAGGTTTTCGGGCTGTGGTTATGAGGGATCTGGGGAAATGCTTTAAGGGAGTCAGCAGGGGGTGGTTTTGCGTTAGGTAACCCTAAACCCTAAACCCTAAACGCGAGTCTAAGGCAATTTCGTGCACAGGGCTTGCAAGGCCTTACGAGAACACGAGTCGTATAGCATCATTGCACGGAATGCATGAAGATGTAGTACACATACAATATGGTTTCCGGAGTACTCGTATATGGTTGTAACATGTATACCATTGATACATCTGTCATCTTTTGCGACAAGCAATGAAGCACATTTGGCTGGGGTTACGATGCTGCACTGATCTGCCTCTGGCAGCAGGTCCACAGGCTTGCATGGAGTGGTATATTTTAGCACACTGTCTGTTGGCGTATTGGTAAGCTTGTGTACTGAACCCTCTGCACCTGGTAACGTACAAGTACAATTAATGGTAGATGGTGCTATATACGCATGTACATGCATACTATATATATATATATAATCACATATGCCTTTTTACATGTACATATACATATATGTACACATGTGTGTATATATATATATACATGTGTATGTGTATATATATATATACATACGGGCCCAAGTATGTTCGGATACGGGTACCGATATCGCAGACTTGCATGAGTCGTATTAGAGAGCACGTGCAAGGTCGAGTCATGCAGGGGGCTATGATGACCTACTAGGAAAACCCGCAACGTACACAGGCCCGGCCTGGAAATACGAAGCTTGTTTACAAGTCAATTGCACGCAAAAAAAGCATGTATCATGATATATATATATATATATCATATTGTCGTTCGGAGAACGCCGGCCGATGTGCACAGAGCTGCATTTTGTGATCACGGGGGTTCAGAAGCCGCCCACGATCGGCTCCGCCAGACAGCTGCGACTAAAGGTCCGAACACAAGCCCCAGCATCAACGACTGAAGCCGGAAAATACATGCTGCCTCATGTGCGTTCAGCTTCAAGTTCCAGCCCAGACCATGTAAAGTATGCAAGCATGGATGCATTGAGCACGATCCTGTGTTAGCCCATCTGCTTTTTTTGTGCGTGTGGGGGTTCTGCAGCAATTGAACCGTTTAGTGTCAGGGCTGAGGGCTTGGAGTCTCTCGTTGACCCTAAATCCAAAGAACCCTAAAACCGTAAACCCCAAACCCTAAACCCTAGCATCCCCTAACCCTCCAGGTGCCTACTATATAGGGCCCTAGGGGCTCTAGTACCCTATATAGTAGGTACCTGCGGGGTTAGGGATCTTGGTTTCGGTTAGCATCCTGAAAACTGGCGCCAGAGGGGCCGGAAAGAGTAGACGTAGGTTTTGAGTGATATTTTTTGCTATAACTAGGGTTTAGGGTTTACGGTGGATCTATATGTCTATAACCCTTAGGCTCTAAGAACTGATATTCTAAAGATTATGGGCCCACAGACCATACTATATAAGGCTTTTGGGCTAGTTTGAGCCTTAGGGTATGTTCAGACAGGACTACAGGAGAATACCATTGCCAATTGCTCCGACCCCCAAAAAAACCCAAAGATGCACTTGTGTCCAGGCGTATACAACGGAAGCGACCTCCGCAGGTGTGCCGGGTTTGGGGATCAGAACCCTAACCGCCTAACGGCCCAGAGGGTCCAGGAGAGTGTATTATATAATATAAGGTACTTGGACCCCAGTGTGACTGGCCATGTGCTCACATAGCACATGTGTCGGCGGTAAAGCATGCGTAGCCCCTATAAAGGTTCGCCAGGGCCAAAGTATAGACTATGTGGGTACATGGACCCTTTTAGGGGAAGGTGCGTGGGTTTAAGGATCATGGACTGCCGGCGCCAGGCTGAAGTTTTAGGGAGAAGGGCATGGTATTCGGCCAGTCGGGAAAGCATGTCCTTGGTTTCAGTTGTTTTTGGGGGTTTAATAATTCTAGGGTTTGGGGTTGAGGCTTTCTTGAGATGGCTTTGCGACTTTTCGGAACGACTGGTAAGACCGTTTAGGGTTTGGGGTTTTCGGGGGATGGATGTCTTAGAAGCCAGGGTCTATGAGGCCGAAGGTCGACTTGGTTCCCTGCCTCGACACGATGGCCCTAAACCCTGAACCCTGAACCCTTAAAACCTAAACCCTAAACCCTTAAACCCTAAAGCCTAAGCCCTAAACCCTAAACCCTTGAACCTTAAACCCTGACCATGCTTTTAACTGCGGCCAAGAGAGCCATCTGTCCCTGATCCTTCGCACGCGCCGGACTGTCGAAGATCTCCTCACGCTGAAAGGCAGGCCGCCCTGATGTCCTGTGGCCGCCGGCCTGCTCATCGACGACTTTGTGCTTCTGAAGCGGACTCCCTGTAATATAGGAGCCTGAATGATTACCTATACTATTTCGGGGGTTCCTTATCATGACTATAGTATAAAGGGACCCAGAACCCTATTCTAATTATTAAGGCCCCTATCTTATAGAACCCATATAGTAGCCCATATATAGAACGCTTTAAGGAACCCTTTAAAGGAACCCTATGAAAACCNNTATTCTAACTATTAAGGCCCCTATGCTATGCCTGTGAGCACCCGGAAGTCATCGCAGCGGTCCGTGAAGCCTGCGAAGCGGCCCAGCTCCAGGGAAAGCTGTGTACAAAGCTCTGCATGGTTTAGGGGTTTAGGGTTTA